CCACACAGAGTCCCATTCAAATCCCATTCCCCCATCACCCCTGTGCTAACTGACCCACACAGACTCCCATTCAAATCCCATTCCCCATCACCCCTGTGCTCACTGACCCACATTGAGTTTCAGTCAAAACCCATCCCCCCATCACCCCTGTTGCTCACTGACCACATTGAGTTTCAGTCAATTCCCATTCTCCCAATACTCCTGTGCTCACTGACCCAAACAGAATCCCATTCAAATCCCATTCCCCTATCGCCCCTGTCCTCACTGACCCCCACTGAATTTCAGTCAAATCCAATTCCCCCAATACCCCTGTGCTCAGTGACCCACACTGAGTTTCAGTCAAATCCCATTTTCCTTACTCCTGTGCTACTGGTCCACACTGCTTCTGTTATGCGATTACTTGATTTTTAAAGGTCGCACCCTTGTTATTGAATCCTTCTATGCTTCACTTTGCCTCCCTCCCCTATCCCTGCGATTCCTCCCAACTCCTGACTGTTCTGATATCTCTTTGCTATCCTGATTCTGGCGTCACGCCTTGGTTTTGAACATTGCACCTTCAGAGGAGCTGTTCAATCAGTTGCTTTGAGCCAATGCTCTTGAATTCCTTCTTTAAGTATCTCTGCCTCTTTACCTCCCTTTTCCCCTTTCAGACATTCTTCTTTGATCAAGCTTTTTGCCATCAGACCCAATCTCCTCTTGTGTGTCAAGGCATCCTACATTAGTTTATGGCATGTCTGTGAAATTCTGTGGGGTCTTTCACAACTTTAAAGGTGGGCTGTAGAAATTTGGGAGGTAATCTTATTGAAACATTTCCTGAGGGGATGTTTCCACTTCTTGGAGGGAAATGCAATTTATCAAATAAGAGGTGTCCCAATAAGACAGAGGTGTGGAAAAATCATTTCCTCTAAGGCTCATCACTTATTGTAATTCTGTTCCCCTTAAAGGAGTAGGGGCTGTGTCATTGAATTTATCCAAGGTGGAGTTGTATAGATTTTTAACAGGTGTTGGAGTCAAAGATTATGGGGTTGGTATGGTGGGGTGTTGTGGGAGGGTGTGGAAGGGGGCAGGAAAATGATGTTGACACGCACAACCACGTTAGTCACGTTCTTATTGAGCGGCGGGAGTATTAAATAAGCCTTCTTGCGCCCAACTCCTATGTTCCTGTACTATATCATTGTTAGTTACTGTTGTAAGCTTACACCGGAACCATATAGAAAAGATGGGTTTCTGCACAGCCTACTTCATGTTCACCATTGGCTGAATGGCTTTTCTTGTGCTGTCAACTGCTGTGCAAGTTTGTTACACTTTGCTCACCCACTGATTCTGGAGGTTTGGCCTGGTTCCATTAGATTAACTCCTGCCATTCTCCACCATTTCCCACTTTGATGCCCTAACAATTCCCAATTTTTAACCCTCATTATCCATGGATTTATCATCATCTATCAGGAGCATATCCAGAGATATCAGTTCTTTACATCAATGCACAGCACTATCCTTGAGTAGGAGAAAGGGAAGAAAAAAACAAAACAGCAACGCTGGATCCTTGAAAGATGATGTCTGATGATGAAGTCCCAAAAAAGGAGGCTTTAGAGGCGTCTGAAGTCTAGGTTCTGAGGGTGAGACAGGTAGCAGACATTAAATTATAACCCTTTCAATAAACTAAGGAGGCATTAAACTGTTTTCAAAATAAAAGGATTTGTGAAAGGGACTTAAGATTTAGGGATACTCAATTATTTAAGTATTCAATGGACACTGTGACTAGCGGGCAATCGTGTGTGCAAAGCAACTGCTCAGGATTAAATAATGTAGCCGGTACTATTAAGTGGTTGTCTTCAAAATTTTATTCAGTTGTCCCCAGTGACCATAAGTTTTTTTCATAGTTTTTCTTCCATGGGATTGTTGCTATGGTTACTAGTCTCCCTTGGAAGAGCCGCTGTCAGTGTGGTTCAGGTGAATCTCTGGGCTTTAATTGGTCGATGGACCGCTCTCTCATTTCACATATTTGTTTTTGAGTGGGTGAATGTATTTGGCAAGATGGATCAGTAGATCACTTGTGGCCCCGAGTGATAGCCCCAAATATTGATGATCATCGTGCAGCTATCGCCCAGTGTCTGAGGTCACTGTCTCCACTGGGTACAGGCCACTCTGGGGTTTGAGTACCTCAATGTTTGGTTGAACGAAAGACAAAGAGAATCTCCCAGTGCTGATTACCCATCTCTTTTTATCTCACAGAGTCAGGACAATCTGAAAGCTCGAACCAGCAAGGAGACGCAGATGTCAAACCACCACCCAATGGTAAAGATCGCCGTTTACACACTGCTCAGAGTGAATCTCTGGAGGGTGGGAGTGGGAAGGGGAGGTGGGCACAGTTGGCAGGTAGAAAGTGTGGACACCTCAGGGGTGGGATATAGGGTTCTGTACAACAACTCCTTGGGCAGGCATTTAGGAATGCAGAAGTATCCTTGTGGCGTCAGAGGTAGCGGAAGCAGAAACCATAGAAACATAGAAAATAGGAGCAGGATTAGGCCTTTTGGCCCTTCGAGCCTGCTCTGCCATTCAATAGGATCATGGCTGACCATCCAACTCAGTCCCTTGTTCCCACTTTTGCTCCATACCCTTTGATCCCTTTAACCCTATGAACTATATCTAACTTTTTCTTGAAAACATTCAATGTTTAGGCCTCAATCATTTATGTGGCAGAGAATTGCACAGGCTCACCACTCTCTGGGTGAAAAATATTTCTCCTCATCATAATCCTAAATGGTCCATTTCCTATCCTTAGACTGCGACCCCTGGTTCTGAGCTCCCTGGTCATCGAGAACATCCTTCCTGTGTTTACCGAGTTTCATTCAGTTAGAATTTTATAGGCTGCTATGAGAATCCCCCTTCATTCTTCTAAATTCCCGTGAATTTAGGATCCAGTCTCTCCTCATACAACCCTATCATCCTCGGAATCTGTCTGGTAAAGCTATAATACACTCCCTCCATATCTAGAACATTCTTCTTCAGATAAGGAGACCAAACCTGCACACAGTCCTCAAGATGTGGTCTCACCAAGGCGCATGCCATCCCCACTGTCCTGTACTTGAATCCTGTTACTATGAAGGCCAACATACCATTTACCTTCTTGATTGCCTGCTGCACCTGCCCACTCACATTTAGTGGCCAGTGTATGAGGTCACCCAGGTGTCATTGTATCTCTCCCTTATCCGATCTAAATCTAACCATTACATCTTCTGAACATTTCTAGAAAAGTCAGTGCTTCTAGTTATTGCATTGCTGTTTCCCATACAAAAAATAATAGGTAGGAATTGATTGTCTCAGCCAGTCTCCAGACTCTGTTCACCCCCCAAGGCCATGGTAACTCCTGAGAGTAGCCGAAATTCAGAGATAAAGAGCAGCCAGGTTTGGGAAGGATAATTTAATCTTGGAAATGACCCTCTGACTGCTCCATCTTTAGGCGGCGGAAAGTAACCCAGGAGATTGCTCTGTTCCAATCATTCTGTGCCCCATCTTTTGTACAGAGTAATTCCCACAGCACAATAAGATAATTCCCACAGATCTTGTTCTGCCTTGAAGCAATTCAAAGAATCTTGTGCAGGGGCTGCCGGTTTCAAAGGGCCATCGTTCTCTTGATAATCTCACGAAACCCAAGGCCAGGCCTTGTGCAACTCAGTATTGCTACATCCTGGTTCTCTGACACCTAACTGCTAACAATTCAAACACATCCCAGTCCCTTCACCGATTGAAAAATATCAGTCAAATGCCTCTTTGCCCGAGGTGTTGCATCCCAGCTTTTTTCGCCTAATCTGTACAAGCTCATGCTTCAGACTAGGAATTAATTGAATGACTTTTCTCTGGACTCGGTCCAAACCCTTCCACTTGGGCATCTATCAAGTCATCAAATGTCCCCTGCAGTCCAGGACTAGACTTACAATTATAACTGTGTCAGACAATTGGAAAGTACACGTGATGTTTGCGTGTTGGGGCCAGGGTGTTGGTGGTTTCAGTAGCTTTTTACATTATGATGCTCAGAATGATTTCCACTCCCGCACCAACAGATAAACACTGTGTGTTACATCCACTTCAGCCAAGTCCAAAATAAGTCTTATGAGAATGTAGCTGGGGCACAATTGAAGAGTGGCCAACTTTCAGCTTGATTTTTCACGTTTTGCAATCTTAGGACATCTACTCTTGACAAAAGTCAAATGAAATGAGAAAAGGCTGCTTAATCCATCAAGCACATTTAGTCCTGTGGGTGTTGATGTTTCGAAATTGGCCTTGGTGGACTGTAGAAAGCTGGAGACTCAAAGAACCGTTGACAGTGGCTGAAGATCTGTTTCCCAGTTTTTCGGATATAGTCTTATCCTCCAGCTTTTATACCTGCTCCTACCTCAAGTTATTGCTCTTTCCTGTTTACTCTACATGCCCTGTTTACTGATTAGATAGAAGTTAGTGATTCTACAGGTATATTCAAAAAACGCTGAAGGGAATTCTTACAGCGACTCGGCCAACGTTCCTCCCTCAACCAACATTCCCCAAAATCACAAGAACTATCCATCCATTTCCTTGTTTTCTGAGGAATGTAGTTCATGCAAAATTGTGTAAAGTACAGTTCCTGTGTTTCTAAGTCATTCATTCTGTTGGAAGTGTATTAAGATATTTTGAAATGATAAGATGATTCCTGAGCATAAGTGGTGTTACTTTAAGTCGTATCCTTTAGCTTACCACCTTTTCTTATTTGATTAATGGACAGGTTGTGAAAGCAGAGTCAAGTTGGAAGATCAATCACAGTCTTATCAAATGGTAGAGCAAGGTCGAGGGGCCATTTGGCCTATTTCTGCTCCTATGTTCCAAGGACTCTGTAAGTCTGAGCATTAGCCAGGGGCATTGGGAGCTCCTCATGAGCGGATGACAAGAAAGCCACGAGTTGGCAGGGAAAGTAGTGTTTTCAGAAGGAACACAGCAGGTCAGGCAGCATCAGAGGAGCAGGAAAGTCAATGTCCGATGCTTCCTGACCTGCTGTGTTCCTTCAGCTCCACACTCTGTTGACTCTGACTCCAGCATCTGCAGTTCTTGCTATCTCCTAGTGTTTTCAGAAGGTGTTTTACAAAGACTGTAATCTTTCTGGGGAAGGTCAAGGGCTCACTGAGTTTTTTTCTCATTCTTGGGTGTAGGCCATTGCATATTGACCATCCGTCATTGTCCTTGAGGAGGTGGGTGATGAGCTGTCTTCTTGAACCACTGCAGTCCATGTGCTGTAGGTAGATCAACAATGCCACTGGGGGAGGGAGTTGCAGGATTTTGATTCGCCGACACTGAAAGAACAACGATATATTTCCAAGTCAGAATGGTCAGCGGCTGGGAGGGGAACTTGCAGTTGGTGATATTCCTATGTATCTGCTGCCGTTGTCCTTCGAAGGGTTAGAGTTTGGTGGTTTGAAGATCCTGCCTAAGAAGCTAAGGTGAATACCTGCAACACATTTTGTAGATGATACATACTGTTTGTTGCTACTGTGCGACAGTGATGAAGGGACTGAATGTTAGATGGGTGCCAATGAAGCAGGTTGCTTTGTGCTGAATACTGTCAACCTTCTTGAGTGTTGTTGCCTGCATCCAGGCAAGTGGGGAGTATTCCATCACACTCCTGACTTGTGCCTTGTAGATGATGGACAGGCTTTGGGGAGTTCCTACCTGGTCCTGGAGCAGGTTTTGCAAAAAGGACTGAGGTGATGACAGCGCGACGGATACCATTAGTGGGAGTTTGCTGTGGTTAAATTGGCAGTTCCTACATGTCAACAGTGAGCACACTTCAAATGTACTTCATCAACTGGGGGCTCATAGACACCAGTTCTGACTTTCATACCTCACCTCACCATCTAAAATTCCCAGGAAGATGTAACTCAGTAGTGATTTAGAACAAAAATCCCAACCCTGTAGAAGCTATAATCAGAGGTGGAGGTCTTCCATTCTGTTCAGGATGATAGGGAATGTGGGATCATTGTGCTCTACAGAACAATTGACTCCACTGTTATTATAACCCACAATCCTGTTGGTGAGGAGGCGGAAATATGGAATGTTTTTGTTGGTACAGGAGATCGGGAGCAGCATGACCTGGCTTTTCAAAATGCCAAAAGGCACGTCTAATGTGACTATACAGAGAACCATTTCAGTTACGTGGCAATGGCAGAACAAAAAGATGGAATTAGATAATTAGCGCTTATGTTGCTGGGGATTGGACATTTGAAGCAGGTCAGCTCCCATGGGTCAGTGCAGTAGGCTCCCTCCGAGATCTGTTACCACCATGACAGTGAAACTTCTGCTCCGAAAAACAATAGCTCAACAAATATCTAATTGAGAACAAGGTTGAATGCTGTCAGATATCCAGACAGAGCTGATCATGGGGGATACAGTGGCATAACTAGTATGCCGAATGTCTGAATGAATGATCTCAGAACATATGTATAAATTCTACCACGGCAACTACTGAATTTAAATTCATTTACTTAAAAGGGTGAGTCAGTAACAGTGACCAGATTGTTAAAAAAAATTCTGGTTCACCAAAACCCTTTAGGGAAGGAAATCTAGGGAGTTGAAAGCCTAATGGTATTACTGCTAGACTGTTAGTCCAGTGACCCAGGTAATGTACTGGGTCCCTGGCGTGGTAGAGGGGCAATTTGAATTCAGTGCAAAAGATCTGGAATTGATCATGAAACCATTGCCGATATTCAGAAAACCCATCTGGCTCACCAGTGTCCTTTGAGGAAGGAAATCTGCCATTCTTATTTGGCCTACACGTGACTCCAGACCCACAGCTAATGTGGTTGACTGTTAATTGCCCTCTGAACTACTCAGCTGTATTCAAGCAAGTGGCTCACACCACCCCCTTCTCAAGGGCAGGTAGGGATGGGTGATAAATGCTGGCCCAGCAAGTGATGCTCATAACCAACAATTTGAATGAGGCACAATTCTTATTGTGCTGTGAGTATTATGGTACTTCCATCCGTGGAACGCAGCGGATTGGAGTTGTTGGAACATGAGACCGATGGCTTGGAGTTTGGTCGAGGTAATCTAATAGAGAACGCTAAGCCATTTGAACTGAGAAAATTGACCCTAGTTGACAACCTTTGACAGTCTATATGATTCAATGGAGATAAATTTAGAAGCAAATTTTGAGTCCCTTGTTAGACAAGTATCCTTCACAGTCTTTTGGTTGGGTTTATCTATTCTGTTTGGACATGTGCTTGCAGGATATTCCTTTTCCATGTCCCTTTTCACCTCTGCCCCACATCCAT